TGTTCAGCAAACTGTGAGGGTTTAACGGCGCCAGTCACACTTGGAAGAGAAAGAGAGACACATATCCAACAATACCAACGTCACCTGGATAATATTTAACAATTATTCAACAAGAATCAGGGGCCGTTGCACGTTCACACTGAGGACACTGCAGGCCAGTGGAGCCTTGGTTGACACAAGGCTACAGATGGCTATCGGGGTTTGTTTGTGTGAAGGGTGCTACAGTCTCTCTCTCTCTCTGTGGACGTGTATGTGTATATGGGGGGGTTAAGTATGTGTAAGCGATTGACAGACCGTCTTTACTTAATTTTCATGTATTTTTTTACAACATTTCATTCTGCAAACTCATGAAAACTAACTAGTTTCTGTCATGAGATCAGTAGGCACTGTCAGTCCCCAATTTTGTGTTCTGTACAGAAGCACCCTTCACACCAGCTGTGTTTAGGCTGCTGTACCCACATGAACCACTAGAGGGCGACACAGGGAAGCATTTTAACACTAACAAAACCAATTCATCCTTATTTAGAGTTGTGAAAGGCCACAAATGTGAAAAAACTAACAAAACAAAACAAGGACTATAGGTTTGTAATGTTGGAGCTGCGCCATTGTTTGTACAGTGGGTCAGACATGTACGCACCCACTTTTTTTAAGTTTGTGTGTCTGCCTTGACATTGAGTGTTACAGAAAAACTAGATTTCAAAGCAGCTTTTGGAGCTGGTCCATGATTACAAATTCATGCTCTGCAACAAAGCTTTGTTAAGGGCCACACAGCTGCCTTCTATCAGACCGTATAGCATCATTAAGCTATGTTATCCTGTTCAAACAAGCAGATATATTCTATATCCATAATACTTACTTATTTAAAGACAGTTTAGAGGTTAGGTCATTAGAATGGAGCCCAATAGGCTTGCAGACTCCTGTCATGACAGTGTAAGTACAAAGGTTTTTCCTAAATTAACTGAAGTGCAGAGTATGTGTCAGGTTGTGTAATCTGCAAATCAGCCAATCAGAGTGTTTACTGATCTTTGAAAACAATATTTTGTATGTTCTGTCCTGTGGAGCTGTGTTGAGGTTATTTATTATTCTCAGTGTGTTCTAAATATTTCTGACATACAAACATACATATCATACTAATCAGTGGCAGCATGTACCACATTCTGTATGTACATGTACCAGGACTGAAAGGAAACAAATGAACATGGTTTGCTTTGATTTTGTTTTTGTTACTATTCTATGTCACCATACTGTATACTGACTTTTATGTTGTTGCACTGGAATGAGGAAGCAAAAATGTCACAAATTGCTGCTGTGAAGAAATATGACTTTTTTGTGATTCATAGATGTTTCATATTTTGGTTGAACAAGAGCTTATGTTAAAGACTTTATCCAACAATAGAGAAATTAAAAAAATAGTAGGCTTTGTCTGCACCTTCATTCACAGCAGCTTTGTGCTCATGCATGTGAACCTGGGAGCTATGATTTTAAAGGACAACACCAGTGTTTTGGCTCTTTAACTACAAGTTGTAGTTTTTACTGAACATGTTTCAAATACATGGAACAGAGTTTTAGGTTTTAGGTTTTAGGATGTGTCTTTCCAGTCTTTTCAAGAAGCTGTTAGTTTCCATCTGATAGTCACTCTGTACTGAGATCAATAGAAAACAGCTGTCTGTAATAGTAGTGGAAAAAAACACCCAAACAACTCAGTCACAACAACAACAACAAAACAGATTCCTGTGATCGTACCAAATGTGATTTAAACAGGAAAACACACTGGTGTAATCCTTTAAACATCAAATCCCAGACTTCATAGGAGATACAAAACTATTAGATAAGGCCAGTGGTGTCTTTCTGTTGCAGGAAAGATAACAAACCATGCTGTGAGTTTCAGAGTGTCCATAATCACATGTGTAAATGGCATATTAAAAGAACAGGTAGTACCTGCTTGACAGCATCTGAGTCAGACTCTTGTTTATTAGATCAAACTGATTTAAAGTTGATCTTTACAGAACAAAAAGCTTTTCTGATATCACCCTAATTACACTGCCCAACAGTAAATAAAGCATCAGTAGCTTGAGGTCCTGTGTGTCCTGTGATTAAATATAACTGCATGCAACAATATGAGGGTGACCAGTGTGTTAAGATGGTATTTCCTTGGGCAATACGGAAATTGTGATGGTGTGAAGCACATGTCAAAAGACATGAGCCTGCAGCATGTAAAGAAGAGCAGTAGAGGTGGCTGCTGTTGCTTACAGCCATACCACCCTGAAAACGCCCAATCTCGGAAGCTAAGCAGGGTCGGGCCTGGTTAGTACTTGGATGGGAGACCGCCTGGGAATACCAGGTGCTGTAAGCTTTTCTCTTCTCTTTACAAACAACAGAGGGCGCTGCTGCTTCACTAGTCACCAACACTGAGAAAACCAGCAGCTACTGACAGAAAAATAGTGAGAACACTAATGCTTCTGATGATACTGGTTTCCAATACATGTGCAGCAGCATACATATGTTAGGCCTGTTGCCTGGTCACGCGGCTTAGCATCCTGTGGAAAGTGAACAAATAATTTCTTCTGTAAGACAAAAGAAACCTTTTGACAGATTGACCCTCCCTGCATTGTTTGACATTACATTACAGGATGTGGCTACTTTACTTGAATGTTTCCATTTCATATCGCTTTCAACTTTCATTGGATTAAGTCAAGTTCAAAGTGTTTATTTGTCATATGCACAGTTAGGAAACGTGTTTCCCTGTACAATGAAATTCTTACTTTGCTGTCCACATGAATGCCACAAAATACAAATGAAATATAAAGTAGATAAATAACACAAAATCTAAGGCACTTTAAGCGGCGCAGATGCAGCAATATAGTATAAGAAAAGTTCTCTCTGGGTACTCCGGCTTCCTCCCACAGTCCAAAGACATGTGGCTTAGGTTGACTGGTGTCTCTAAATTGCCCATAGGAGTGCGTGTGCGGTTGTTTGTCTATGTGTTAGCCCTGCGATGGATAGGTGACCTGTCCAGGGTGTACCCTGCTGTCGCCTGATTGCCGGTTGGGATTGGCTCGCCAGTGATGCGACCTATCACTGCGGTGTCGTCTGCAAACTTCAGGATGATGATGTGTTTGTGGGAGGCGACACAGTCGTGGGTGAACAGGGTGTAGAGGATGGGACTGAGGAAACATCCCTGTGGGGTGCCAGTGTTTGTAACAATGCTGGCTGAAGTCCTATTGCCAATCCTGACAGTCTGGGGCCTGGCAGTCAGAAAGTTCAGGATCCAGTCACAGAGGGTGGGGTGCAGACCCAGTGTGAACAGTTTGTGGGGGACAACTGTGTTGAAGGCGGAGCTGTAGTCAATGAAGAGTATCCTGATGTAGGAGTCTCCATTTTCCAGGTGAGAAAGGGAATAGTGTAGGGCAGCCGCGATGGCGTCTGAGGTAGCCCTGTTGGGCCGGTAGGCATACTGCAGGGGGTCCAGGGGGTCTGGTATACTGCTCTGAATGCAGGCCAGCACCACTCTCTCAAAACACTTCATAATGATTAGGGTGAGTGCCACTGGACTGTAGTCGTTCAGGCAGGTGACCGGGCTCTTCTTGGGAAGGGGGACAATGGTTGTGGGCTTACAGCAGGTGGGAATGAAGCTCTGGCTGAGGGAGATGTTGAAGATGGTGGTGAGAACATCAGCCATCTCGCTGGCACATGCCCTGAGAACCCTCCCAGGGATGTTGTCCGGTCCTGCTGCTTTGCGGGGGTTGATCTTCCTCAGGCCTGCTGAGACAGTTGGTGGGGGGTTGGGTGGTGTGTGTGCGCCTCCTCTTGCTGTGGCTGGGGGGCTCAAAGCAGGGGGAGAAGG